TGATGTATAGAATTACAGCTCTGAACATCCAGTCCTTGGGGATTCCTTTATTCTTCAGACATACAGAATTTAAAAAGATGCATTATTTTTCTCCATCTAATACTGATTGTTTTGGTCATAATAAGGAACCACGACTGTGCTTAACAGAAAAAATCTTTTACTGATGAGATGTCTTTGTTCTCAGTGTTTTCACTGCCTTCCATTGTAATAGCAGCATAAGGTGCATGATTCTGTTGTTAATGCTAAGGGATGGCATATGTCTGAGGGAAGTAATCTATCTGTTTACGTACAATGCCATCATGAAACTGCTGACTCCACTGGCTCACTGACTTGTTTAAACCTTTCTCTGGTTTCAACGTGCTCAGTATTTGGTATTCTGCACCATGCGAGTGATGCCTGTGGCCTTCTCAATACAAGTTGGTGGGTTGCTAAGGAATAACTCTCAAGGGTTTGAGCCCCACAGTCACCTTGATCTCAGCGCTGGTGATTGGCCACACTAAATTTCTGCTTCATGGTTTATATCACAGCACTGACCAAGGCATGAACAATTATGGCTGTAGTGAAGAAATATACTGAGCGCTTTCACAGGGTAATGCCATTAATATATCCCTACTAGCACCAAAAAATCATCATGCAACTTCAAAAACAATCAATCAATTAATCAAACAAGCAAAAAGTGAAACTGGTTTAAATATACTTGCATATATTTTATCCTATATTGTCTATCTGGGGTTTTCTCATCATTATTGATCTGTGCTCTTTACAACACACATTCAGGACAACTTCTTTACAACCAAGAGGACTAGGAGCTACTGTTAGAATACTTCAGACCTTTTAGAGCTTCACATAATATCTTACCTTCATGTGCTGCTAGGTCTACAGTTGCTGCTAAGGGCTTTTAACATTGCCTGTAACACTCTGCTCATGCTGCCAGAGCTGCACACAGAATTTAAGGGAAAGGAAGTGAGATGTAGATCATGGACCAACCTTAAGGTTTCCAAAAATTTTAACCCCACCCTTCTTTACATGTCTCCTTATTCGATAATGGTCAGCATCTACAGGTAAGGTCCGATAGGGCTACTCTTTAATCGTAATTTTAATACCTAGTATGGCAAGTTTTACCTCCTTGAAAAAAGCTTGAAAGCAGCATCTCTCTCTAAGGAGTCAAAGTGGATGGGAAAGGAAAAAAGAAAAGAATCAAGTACTTTGTTCTATTACAAGTTTGTTGTAGTGCATCCATTTCTACTCCCTCCCTTGATGTTGAAGTAGCTGTTTCTCCTTCTTTGCATAAGATCCCAGCTAACACATCTCTGGATGTGCTCCTTCCTGCTCCTGCTCTGTGCAACTCATTCTCCATGCAAAAAAAAAAAAAAAATCTGCCAGTGCAAAAAGCTCCTAATGGCCTGGGGGAAGAAAAAAGATATTTACTGCTGGACTCCCTGTGGGAGAATGAGATTTAACTAGTAGGGTTGCCTTGAACAGTAAATTCAGACTAGACATGTATACAAAATAGCTCTTTCTACTTGTCAACTGTGCTAACACACAGTACAAGAGGGAAGTGGAGGTGCTGGAGAGAGTCCAGCGCCAGGAGCCTGGAACATCCGCCCTATGAGGAGAGGCTGAGGGAGCTGGGCCTGTTCAGCCTGGAGAAGAGAAGGATGAGAGGGGATCTAATCAGTGTCTATAAGTACCTCAAGGGAGGCAGTGAGGAGGATGGTGCTGGCCTCTTTTCAGTGGTGGCCACCAACAGAACTAGAGGAAACAGCCAGAAACTGAAGCATCAAAAGTTCCTCAGGAACTTAAGGAAAAATTTCTTGACAGTGAGGGTGACAGAGCACTGGAACAGGCTGCCCAGAGAGGTTGTGGAGTCTCCTCTGGAGATCTTCAAAACCTTCTTGGATGCAGTCCTGTGCTACGTGCTCTAGGTGTCCCTGCGTGTGCAGGGGGGTTGGACTAGATGACCTCTAGAGGTGCCTTCCAACCTTAAGCATTCTAACAGCCCACACTTAGTAGTACCATATGTTTGTATCTAGTGTCCCAGGAATGGAGTCAGTAGTTTTTGGCAGAGAGTAGGATGGACAAATTGGATGATGTGTGTTGCAACTAAAGCTGTGGGTATGTCTGTATCAGAGACTGACTGTCATGCAAAATTCAGAATACCTGCAGTTACCTCCTATTTCAGTACCAGTGGGTGGATGTTTGTGCTACACTCAAAAGCAAAGCACAGTAACTTTAACGAGGCTGCATCTATAACAGAACAATTTAGCTGACTCCAGTTGAAAAAAACACTTTATGGCAACTGATGGGGTTTCCTAGGGTGAAGATTAAAGGCATAGGGACAATGTCTGTTTCAAAGAAGTTTCTGTGAAAATGTTTACTTTAAAATGAACGTTGATAACCAATGTGTTTCTGAGAAATGAAAACAAACAATGCCAATATCAGATGTTTCTGAAGCAATGAAATGTTTTTGAAAGCTAATATAGGCAACCTATAAAAATTCACAGTAATTCATAAATCACATGTGCTATGTGATAATCAGGCTTCAAAATGTACTTTCTTCTCCTCTGGTCCCACTGATAAGCATTTGGACCACATAGAGAATGGTGGGCTTAAATTACAATTTGCAAAGCTGAAGGAATGTGAGTATTGAGTTTGGTTTCAAGGCCGAATTTATCTGATCAGGGAATACAGCAAAAGAATAAAATTCTTAGGGGGCTTATTGATGTGAAAAACTGCTTCTTTCAAAAGAGAAGTATAATCCTAGATTTTACGTTCCATTAAAAAAAAAACTCTGATACATTTTTCACCAGTTTAAAAACATTTTTTATAAAGAATTCTGTGTGACAACCTCTCCTCACTGATACAGTGACAAAGTAGAAAGACAGAGAGCAACTGAGGAGAAAAACTGCCATTTGCCACACAACAAACTTCTTGTGGCATTCTCCTGACCCAAAATACCCACTGGCCTCAGTTTCCCAAAACAGCTGACTACCCCATCCTCTTCTCCATCCTAAGCAACCACTTGAACCTTTCTCAACTGTTCTCACCCTCCTGTGCCCCTTCACTGCCTCCATAGCCGGAGATATCTTTGAGACATCTCTCTCATGAAATTTTGTATGTAAAAAATCTGTCACTCTCACGTCCTATAAAAGTCCCATGGCCCTTAACGTCTTCTATGGGCCAGACTGAGTGCCTCCGAAAGAGCATAGATGCCCTTCAACTTTCCTCTAGCTGGTGTAAAATGAATAGTTCTTCATCAAGTGTGTGGTCTCCAATGCTGAAAAACTGAATTTACTTGGTCTTTATGCAAATTAAGTTAATGTCAATCCAGGTGAAAATTTTCATGTGACAGGTCTTTTAAATTTAATCTTTTTTCTTCAAGCTGTCTGTGCTCTTCTACTTAACAACACAAACTGAATATTAAATATAAGATTAATGCATTTATTAATCATGCAGCTAAGTAAAATCATTAGCAAACCATTAGTATTGAATACTTGCAAATAAAATCATAACTTTGCTAACTCTTAATTCCATGTAGACTGTTTGTGGAGTGAAAGACAAAATAAGAGATATTGCAGAATTTAGGGAAAACTTTTCATATAGCTGAGTTAAAGTGAGATATAGAAATATGATCTCTGTACAAGGTCTAAATAATATTATTTAATAATTTTTTCTTCCATAGTTCCCACTAATCTTGTCTTCTACTAGGTTCTACTCTCTCAGGGCAGTTCTATTTAGTTAATATTTAATATAAAAAGCATATAGAGCTCTTCCTTCTCAAAGAATTTACCAACTGGACTGCAGACAGCATGCTCTTTTTCTATTCTAGTGAGTTTCTTGAGATCAGAAAAACAAAACCAAAAGAAAAAGACAGTTGAGAATTCCTACAAATCTTCAGTTGAGCGAAATGAACAGTCCAGATTGTTATAAAATGTGTACTAAAAAAGATAAAGTAAAATTGGTGGACATTTTGAAATGCTCAGAAACAGAAATAATCTAGAAGTCCATTCTCATTAATACGTAGCTGCTGCCATTCATTTCTCTTCATTTTCTGTGTATGTTTTCTTCCATGCTTTTTTTTCCCTTTCTAATTCTCTTCTTTCTAATTTTCTGCTTTCTTATTTAATGATTCATTCTTTCTTCATGGCTCTCATCCCTTCCTATTTATAAATGTCCTTCAGAGATACTTAAGTTTGTGTCCGTACTCCTTAATCTGCCTAAGTATACATTCCCAGAGATTTTTCAGGACAGACCATTTATACAGACCATTTGAGGTCCTGTTCTGGGGAGAAGAGTAACACAGTTTTCATTGTTTTTTTCTTCATCATAAAGGCAGAAAGTAGCTATTGGGAGGCAGACCTAAGGGCAATAACAGTTCAACTCCCCTCTGAACCTGAAAGGAAAGGCCTTGAATAAACTCTCTGTAATGTTATTGACTGCACCATGCTTTCTCTTAACTTTTTTCCCCCTTTCTTTTTATGTATGTTTAAATCTTGGTGAACTCAATGTCCAGAAGGCCAACCCTTTTCACGCTTCTCATGAATCAAATCCATTTTCTAGTTCCTGTCCTCACCTACTCACTCATTTCCCAATGTCTCACAAATTTATCAATCCTTCAAGTCCACTGCTGATGCTATGATAGCACAAAAAGAGTTTCAGTATTAGGGTGTGTACTTTGTTTGATCACTCAGAGAATCATATTGTAATAAAACTCTAATTAGAGAGCTGTGTTAATTTCCTTCTGTATATGATGTAAATAACTTGATTGCCCCAGACTTCAATTTTTCAAGTATAATTCAAAATGATAATGGACAACGGCATGGACAAACTATACAATATATGTATGTATATGTACCTAAAAATATAATTGCACAGGAGAAGTGAAAATGTTTTGGAAAATGCATTGGAATGTGATAGTAAACAAAAATTGCCACACGGATCTATTAAGGAATTATTTTCTATAAGCCAGTTCATTTTTGTTTTTCTGTGTTTTTCCACAGTGGCTATGTCTTTGATTATGATTACTACAGGGATGATTTCTACAATCGGTACGTGTGGTTATATTTTTATACATCCTATACCATTTCTCCTATTATTTCATAGTTGCTTTATGTTATTTGGTTAGATAGGTCTGTTTCGATTTTGCATATTATTGCATATTTCATTATTTTTATTGTGTATCAGAAGACTATTTGAAGATGACAGACAAGATTAGAACCATCCGATATCTGCTCATTACATAGCTCTTTTGCCATTGACCTTCTCTGTAAGCTTTTGAGACTTTTTTGTGCTAAAAACCCCTTAATGATAGTTTAATTGCCCAAAGTTCCTTCTTTCAGAGTTCTCCTAGGCATACTTTCACTGCAACATATAGTAGCTGTAAAATTCTTCACATGACAATCCTGTCTGTTTTTTGTTCATCCATATGTATGACAATATGTGAAACGTTGTATTCTATGTTGTATTCAATAATAATATGTTGTTGAATGAAAAATGTTGTATTTTGAATATTTTTCAACAATACTTAGAAGTCTAGAAGGCTCTTGAGGCAAGACAGACCACAAGTTGAAATGCAAGTGTATGTTTATGGTAGGGAGTGGAGCGTGAATTCTCGAGCAATGAGAAATTTATGCCTCGAGTTTCCCATTGACACACAGCCTAGATCAGCACAGTGGGAATTTAACAGTATTTGTGAGATGTAGAAGAATCAGCTACATGTCCCACAAGTTCGTTTCTCTGAAATATAATAGTCTAATTTATCAAGCAGGAAGGAAATTTGGCATTACTCAACCTACCTCTTCTAATATGAGATTTTTTTTAATGTATGTGAATGTACAATCAACATGCTTTTAGGAAATGGAAATGCAGAAAAAGATTCATGACTCTCTGAATTTCTGAACTAGATATGTTTTATCCAAAACTTTAGAATCTCAGACAACAGTGGATTTTTATTGTTGTTGTTTTCTTTTTTTTCTAATGTTCATTAGTTTTCCAAGCTCTTCTGAATTATTTGGGGAGAATACATTTACCTTATCTGAGCTAAAGTGTAGGGATCAGAAAAGGGTAGCAATAATGGTTAGTGTTATGAAATAAATATATGAATGACAGCCATCATAAGCATAGTTAAATATTTGTTTACTATGTTTACTAAGATGAACGCTAAAACATGTTTGTATTTTTTACATTCATCTTCATATACAATTGTTCAGCTATGGTTAAAATGGCTAGAATCCACTTATTTTTTAGAATACTCAAGGCCATGGATTTCAACTCCAATTGGAGTCATAGGATCACTGCAACACATGTTGCAAATGGTTATGACAGGAAAAATGAGGAGCTAATTATCTGTAGGATTATGTACAGACAACTGTACTGATCATGGGATTTAAGCATTAGGTCCTTACTTTTCAGAAAATGGGCTACAAAACTTAAGTTTCATTCTGCTTTCTGCTCAGTATGGCACTGTGGCACTGGGACAACTGAATTGCAGTTTTTTGTGTGTCTGTTTTCAAATAGGTATCGGTCTTCCCAGCTCAGGGACAGTAGTCAGAATTGTCTGAAAATTAAACACGCAGTTATAAGTTTACATATTCTTACTTATGTAAGAATCTTTTGAAAGAAAATCAAGAATGTTACATGAGAACACTGTTCATCCTTCAACTTCAGCCTCAGAACTGGAAATGTTCATTCAGTGAACTTGGTTCTCTCAGTCTGTCCTGGTCAGTGCCACAGCTTTTGTGTTATAAAAATGCTTGGAGTTTTGGATAGTTTTTCAATTGTCTCCATTTCTTTCTATGAGATTAATGAACTACTATTAATTGCAGTGTTTTTAGGATTTGGGTGTTTGTGGGATGGCAATACTAGTTCATTCAGGATATAATCTTTCACTGATTGTAGTGGCAATTCTTTGACACTTGCTACAATTCATTTTGTTTGAAAAAGGCTCTCAGTCTATTTATATTAATCTTAATTAAGTACTTCAGTGATTCTAGATAGGTCAATTAAGAGAATATATGATGGAACCTCTTTTCCGTGGCCTCTTTCTAATCTTTCTAATCTAATGTACAACTCCCACATTAGAAAGATATTTTTGCTGTTTTACAAACTGCAAAGTGTTTCTTTATGGTGATGGTTGGCTTCAGAAAAGTTCATTTATTTTTCTATCTGTACTGATAGAAGACAGAAAACTAGAATAAGCCACACATGTAGTAAATGAACTGAAATGTCACCACAACAAAATGTTGTGTTACTTGTGTACTTCTGTTACTTGTGTGAAATGAACTGATGTGGACCTGTGGAAGCAGAGTATGAATTTTCCATGCTACTATTAACAGAGTCCTGTAAAGCAACCCTCATTTAAACTATGCAAAATCTGAGTTATGCACTAGGTTGTGACTGAAATCAGAATACGGTACTTATTGTGCACAGGTCCTTGAAATCTAATTTGCCTGTGATATAAAGTGATTATGGTTTCAAAGAGTAATTTTCTCAAAGGAAACATGAAAATTTAGTTGGCAAGCTTTCCATGACATGAAATCACAGAAGGTGTTATGTAGTTCAACTGACTTCATCTTCTCTAGATTGTTTGATTACCATGGCCGTGTCCCCCCACCACCCCGTGCAGTGATACCACTGAAGCGTCCTCGTGTGGCTGTGACAACAACCCGCAGAGGCAAAGGGGTATTTTCCATGAAAGGAGCATCACGATCCACATCAAGCGGGGCTTCCTCCTCAGGATCCAAATGTGAGTTGTTCGTATCATTGGATTTTATTGAAACGGTGTTCCTAATAACTTCCTCAAAAGGAGACAGTCTGAATTATAGCTCTGCTGGTTACAAAAGCTGCCATAATTTTCCTGCAAGTCAAAGAGCACCAGGTTAAAGGCCATTCATTCAATAACATTTGAGCTACTTCATTCCTCAGCCTCCTGTTTAAATTCTCCTAGCATCCTGAGTTAGCTTATGCACAATGAGGTCTTGCAAACTGATGACAATAAGTCATTGTTAATAAACTAAACTACAGAAAAGCTGAGGGGTGCTGCTCTCAGTGGAAGCTTGAGGATTGTTTTCAATCCAGTGGAAGTTTGTTTATCTCTTTTTTGGGGGATAAGGGAGTTGTGTGGGTTGTTTTTTTGTGGATTCTTTGAAAACAGACAGACTTAAACTTCCTTTGTGTCTTCTCAATGGAAAGTAAATCAGGGCTGGAGGGGCTGACCAACTTTTATATAATTGGCCTTATAATAGCTGATAAACAATAGGTATTCCCTTCTCCATGCTCACCAAACTCCTCACCCCATAGTATTTCCCAGAAACTTCATCTTCCTCTCCATGCATCTTTCAGCACCCACATGTCTTCCCTTGCCCCTTATGTGGAGTGAAACTGTCCTTGCGAGCATCTCTGGAAGAGGAAGAGAAAGATCAGGTAGGGATCGAATATCAGAGAGGGTGAAGGGACTGTGAAAAGATGTTTGTAGTACCAGACTGCTCAGCAAAACACCTCACTCTTTTACAGAAGACATGGAGCGAGTGAATCCACCAACACTATAACTAACTGTAAAATGGGCTAAATATGTTATAAGATGATTTTATACTCTGTTTGAACAAGCTGTCCAAATCTCATATGCTAGCATCTAACAAAGATGATTATCTAGTGAGCTCACTAGGATCTGCATTGCATTTATTGATGGCAAGTTCTTGAATGAAAACTTGTAATAAATATATGTGACAGGAAAAAAAAAAGAAGTGTGATAAAAGATAACAAAAGATAACATTGTATTTCAAGGAAAAAGAACTCAGATGATTCCTTGGAAGGGTCATGTTCTGGGAAACGGGCACTCTTGAGGGCCTGGGATTCAGGCTGGAAAGTTATTTGAACATTAACTCATAATGTAGCAGAATAATGTACAGAACTTATGGATATAAAACTATATATCTTGAAGGAAAATTGTTTACTCTGTACATGACCCTGCTTCTGGAAAGCTATGTCCAGATCTTCTGCCCACAAAGCATGAAGGACGTTAAAACGAGCTGAAAAGATTTCAGAAGAAAGCCTCAGGACAATGGATAAAGATCTAGATCTGCCAGATCTAGTTCAACTTCCTTCACCTTCAAGCCATACCAGAAGTCTTCCTGTGGCTAATAAAGACTGTCATGATTAAAATAACACACCTTATAGAACCATTGGGAGGGGAGGATCTAGAGCAATTTCTTTGATGGACAGCATGACCTCCCTTTTCTTTCACTGTGATATTGCACATGACTGGACTGATCTGGATGTTATAATCTAGGGAACTGGTAGTACAGTTTACTGGTATCTTACTTTCATTCATAACTATGACTTTTGGCCAACATACATAGACTTCCACACTGTACCAGCAGGTGTAGGAAAATGGTAGGATTCCCTACTGTCATGTCATTTTCATTGGCTTTGCAAGCTGCATCCCGCTCAAGGATCACAGGCTAACAACTTCTGCCTTAAAGTGTGGCTTTGTATATGTTCACCACATTTAGCTTATTGAAAAAAACATAGTTGAGTAAAACTTCTGAGTATTAAAATAAAAAAAAATGGCAAAAGCCTTTTGTTCTTGCAAAGATACAATGAAGTTTGTCAACTTCAAACTAACTTTTTAGGTAGACAAGTACTACAAGTACTAAACAAAAGTATTAACGTTGATATGATGTTTTGGAGGCTGTATGTGCACTACATGTCTAAACTCCAATTAATCAATGGACTGGATTACTTAGTCATTGGATCCTAGATGATGATTCAGTTTCTGTTGAAAGAGGCACCTTTAGGCTGGAGAGTCAATTCACCCTCCAGTATGATTTGAGGTTCCAGTGAATGAATTGGCTTGATCACAATTAGCAAGAATAGGAACTTTGGTACCTAGTACTCAAGAAATCATATACATCTAGGTTTCCTATTAAGAATCTGGCTCATACTTTCTGGGAGTTCTATCATCTTTGCTTTCTGGAAGGTTAACTTGAATCTACATCATTTTCATACACAAATCTTAAACAAATTTCTTTGTCCATAGTCACTCTTTTTCTCCTCAAATATTTTAAATAATGAATTAAGATTCCTAGTATTGATTTAAAGGAAAACATATGACCTAGGACTCAGTTTTAGTAGATTTAGAATTTAAATTACTTTGCTAGTCTTTTGCAATTCTTGAGTCTTTGGCTCTCTCATAGGGAATCTAAGCTTTAATAAATATGTATGGTTGTAGACTTATTCAGTAGATATCCTCCAGTTCACCCTTTACTGTTGTTTAATTCATATGAAAAGTTAGTGTATAGTTGCATTCAATTCACTACTCCTAGAAGTGTACTTAAGAAGTCGGTGCTTTTTCAGACTCACTTTGCCTTGGTAAGATAAACTATTTTAGGTGATGTTTTATTTTTTTATATGTCTTTACCAGAATAAGTTAGAACTAGAGAAAGCAGAGAAATTTAGCACAAGGAATTCCCTCACACAGAAATCTGTATTTCATTGCAGTGAATGGGAACACAGAGAAATCCACTCCTCAGGACAGTCACCACATTATTATATATTCTTCATTTCGTAAAATATTTTACAGTACCATTTCAAGAATTAAGTAGTGCTTAGTATAGAATTCAACCCTAGTCCAAGTATGATGACTCATAGTTGCATGCTGTGAGATCTCCAGTCACACTGCCTTAATAACACAGAAATTGTGCAGAACATGTAAATTGTTTAATAGAAGAGCTTTCATAAGCAATTCGAATATACTAATTAACAATATAACCAATACAATGCTGTGCCTTGGTGTAAGCATCCTTCAACAGGCAATTTTATGCATTCAGGGGTCATGTGAATTCTACAATATCAGTCTCCAGGCGATAAGAATATTTTTTTGGTTCATTTCTTTCTGCTGAAGGAAGAGCTGCAAGTCGCACCACTAAAAGATGCAGGCCCTCTTTTTTGACGTCTGTTATGTTTACCCATGGAGGAATAAGCTTCAGAAAATATTCTTTTGCATGCAGCACACCTGAAAATATTTTTTTTTTCTTTAAGAGGAAGGAAACACACAGTATACAGACCTTCATGCTTGATTTCCCCATAGAATTACTTCCCTTTTTATTAAGTCCAACCAGCCCAACATAAAGGTAGAAACATGATTTTGTTGGCTTGGACAGAAATGTAATCAGCTTATTGTAAGACGTTTATCAGAGAAATAACCAAGCCATTCCCTTAGGATCTGCAAGCTGGAAAACAGAGAATGTGTGTTCAGTTGCTTCTTTCGCCATTTTACTTGGAAAGTTTGTTGTACTGATTTGTAGGATTAAGCAATTTAATATTTTCTTGTCCCTCTTTTTTGAATTGCTAATTTGAACCCTTTGAACTAATTCACTGTTGATTAGAACTGCAATTTATTGCAAGTTAAGTAAAGCCTCTCTTCAATAAGGAGAAACATAGTTTGTGAGAAATAAGTTATTTTGGTTTTAATGAAATTCAAGGCCATATACAGGCTTAATCTCAAATTGAGAATTAACTATGTCAAAATGATATTGCCTATGCTTGAAAGATTTCATCCTCAATTGGCAAAGCTCTCATGAGAGCATATTCCCTAATATACTTTTCAGACTTAGGTAGAAATCTCTTAAGCATAACTATTCACACAGCTGTTCACAATCACTCTGGACCCAGGAAATGAACCCATATATATACAAGGAGTCAGAACATTCAGAGCACAGAAGACTCATCTGTGGAATTATTAAGGATCTGGACCAGAGGATTTTTTTTTCCCTGAAAAAAAAAGCAGCAATCCAAAGAAAGAAGCTTGTTGTGGCATACAGCAAAGAAGTTAAAAAATACAATACCAAAATGTAATATCTTGCTTACTGAAGAGTACATCTGCAGATATAATGTCTGGTTTTCACTGCAGTAAATTCTTCTTCTAAGAAGAAGTAGTAATATATGTTCTAAGTTTGCTTTTAAAACAAAAATAAATCAGGAGGATTTGACTTCTTTTCTGAATTTATAATGTTCTATGATTAATTGACCACATATTTCTTCTATTTTTTTAACTCTAAAGACTAGAAAAAATAAACTTTACACATCATTAGGAGGAACTCATAAAACTGAAGAGATTAGCTTGGAAACTACACATGGTAGTTTTCCATGTTAATGGTATGAAGCAGCAGATGCAGATTGCCATTTAGCACTGGAAAAAATCATGTTTTTTTCTGACAAAATAGAAACTAAAGTTCTTGAATTGTGCTATTTCTTTTTTATACTGCTGTAAGCAGGGGGAAATGCCAATCATTTTTTTAATCCTTTGTGTGAATGGGTAGGGAATAGGTAGTTAAGAAATTAAAATACATACTGAATTATGCCTTTAAATGAATTTATCTTAACATCATCAGCAAACCCATTTTGTAGTGAAATTTAAATTAATATAATATGATAAAATATTTGATATTGAGCTGGAAACATTTAGATAAAAATACATGGCATTTCTTTTCAAAGATATCTGAACCATGATTCATGGGCAGCAATTTGTAGTTATGGCAGAAAAAAAGAATTCTGAAATAATGTAATTCAACAATGGTACTTCCTTTTCTATAAATGTGATTAACATCAATTTTAAATGTCTTGTTTTGAGTTGGTTCTTGTGTGCAGCTTGTCTCCTTTGACACTAGATGCTTACATAAAGGATGAATTCTTGAATGCTTTTACAATTACAGCAAGAAGAGTGAAGGGCCAACAAATGTACTTCATGCTATTGCAAGTTGCCACACTATCTTATTCTTTTCACAAAGATAATAAACTCCATATTAAACCTGGTTAGGGTTTGGGTTTTTCTATTTCTGCTTCTTCAAACTCCAGCTTAAATTTGTTTCTGATTTGTGCATATCCACATGAACAACATTGTTTTAGCTTAAAATTTTAATTTTCTTCCAGCCTCTTCTCTCTATGTTAAAGAAGCAAAAGTCTTCCATGCTTCAAACTTTGCATGCATCTCATGCCCCTTCCATCTGTGGCTAGTGGGGTCCCCCAGGGGTCAGTCCTTGGTCCAGTCCTGTTCAATTTATTCATCAATGACCTGGATGAAGGCACAGAGTGCTCCCTCAGCAAGTTTGCTGATGATACCAAACTGGGAGGAGTAGCTGATACCCCAGAGGGTTGCGCTGCCGTCCAAAGGGATCTGGACAGACTGAACTTCTGGGTGGTGAAAAATCTCATGCAATTCAATAAGGCCAAGTGCAAGGTCCCGCACCTGGGGAGGAATAACCCCAGGCACCAGTACAGGCTGGGGACCGACCTTCTGGAAGGCAGCTCTGCAGAGAAAGATCTGGGCGTCCTGGTGGACGACAAGTTGACCATGAGGCAGCAGTGTGCCCTCGTGGCCAAGAAGGCCAATGGGATCCTGGGCTGCATTAAGAAGAGCATCTCTAGCAGGTCGAGGGAGGTGATCCTGCCCCTCTACTCAGCCCTGGTGAGGCCGCATCTGGAGTACTGTGTCCAGTTCTGGGCGCCACAGGACAAGAGGGATGTGGAGCTGCTGGAGAGAGTCCAGCACAGGGCTACAAGGATGATCAGGGGCCTGGAACATCTGACCTATGAGGAGAGGCTGAGGGAGCTGGGCCTGTTCAGCCTGGAGAAGAGAAGGCTGAGAGGGGATCTAATCAGTGTATATAAATACCTCAAGGGAGGGAGTGCAGAGGACGGTGATGGTCTCTTTTCAGTGGTGGCCACTGATAGGACTAGAGGAAATGGCCGGAAACTGAAACATCAAAAATTCCATAGGAACTTAAGGAAAAATTTCTTAACAGTGAGGGTGACAGAGCACTGGAACAGGCTGCCCAGAGAGGTTGTGGAGTCTCCTTCTCTGGAGATCTTCAAAACCCGCTTGGATGCAGTCCTGCGCCACGTGCTTTAGGTGTCCCTGCGTATGCAGGGGGGTTGGACTAGATGATCTCTAGAGGTCCCTTCCAACCCTAAGCATTCTATGATTCTATGATTCTATGATTCTATGATCTACTTTCCCACTAGAATTCAATGGTTCAAACTGTACATGTTATTCCAGGTGAGCTATCACCAGGTGCTTGTACAATGCTCCCCCTCTTTAGAAACAAAGCATTTGCTATTTTCTTTTCCATGGATGCATTACAGTGATAGGCCATTGTCAGCCTCAGATTGAAGTACACCTGAGGGTAATTCTTTCACTTTTCTTTAGAGGTGAAGAGGTCCCGTGTTCAGAGTGTATTAGTAGGAGTTCTGTTAATAGTCAATCAACAACTGAATTTCATCAAAAAAAATATGTTTCTTTTTAAAAAGTCAGTGAAGTCTCTATGGAGCTTGAAGTTCTAGGTCTTGTTCTATATCAATTTGTCTTTAGTAACCTCTGCCTACTAAAGAGATACTCCGTGAAATGTTATCAAGTGGAATTTCTCCAATGACACTGATCTTGAAGACTTGTACAATGCCCTGCAAATTAAGAGGATGAACAACATGGATAATTGCACTATTACAAGTTTGAAATGGAGAACTTGTGCAGATTTTTTGAAAAAAAATGCACAAAAATATTGCACAAATTTTAAGCAAATAATTTTGGCATGGGGGGAACCTGAAGGGAACACTGGTAGCAATAAAGCATGTAAGTAGTTCATAGCTGTTGATACTACATCATTGCATCTGTCTTCCCTTTAGTCCAGTCTTCTTCCCAAATTGATTTCTCAGTGGAGTAGCACAGGCAAGGCCTTTGCAGAAGCTTTGGCCTGAGTTGAATGGTAGCCCTATGTATATGCCTGTTTCCTTGACAAACTGAGAAGTGCAAATGTATTCTGCTTTGTATTTCAAGTTGGGACCATTAGGTCCTGGTGGTGTCAACTCTGAAGTTTGAAGTTTGAACTGCAATGCCAGTCGAGGGAACATCTTTAATAAAACAGCTTGACTGCATAAGATCTGTTGCCATCTGGCTTCATAGTGGGCTGCAGCAGACACTTAGCACTCCCTGTTGGAGAGATTCACACTATTTCACCTTGAAATTTGTGCTGCTTCTGTACTACAGGATGGACGAATCATGGCCCCAAGGGAAGCAGTAACCTTCTAAATATACAGTTGTCAGAATCTTAACATTTTATTATAGATCTGGAGGATTGGACAGTGACCCGTTATTTCTCTGAGAACATTTTAAGACCTTGGTCTATAAATATACTGAATAATTCTATCCAATATGAGAGAATAGCATGAAGGTCACTTTTAACCATAGTTGTATAGAACCTACCATTTGTTTCAGATGAGATCAGAGGTTTCAACCAATGATAATGTGAGATGCACAACTTCTCAATATAAGCATGTGATTAAAAATCATAGTCACATGTAACAGGCAATCTTAGTGGAGTTGTTATAACTACAGTGTACATAGCCCAAACTGTAAAATCAAAAACAAAATTAGTTTCAAAGTCAATGAATGTCATCTAAGCTTACATTAAAGATGGTTTAGAAGCAGACACACACTCCTTACTAATGAACCAGGTGGAGCTAGCTCTATCCACGGAAAGTCATTTTTAACAAATGTGATAACCTTCTGCAATGGGATGAATGACTGGTTGGATGAGGGGAGAGCAGTGAATGTTGTCTACCTGACTTCAGCAAGGCTTCTGAATACCGTCTCCCACAGCACCCTCATAGAGAAGCTCTGGAAGTGTGGATTAAATGAGTGGACAGCGAGGTGGATTGAAAACTGTCTGGATGGCAGTGCTCAGAGCGTTGTGATAAATGCTATTGAATCTAGTTGGAGGCCTATGGCCAGTGGTGTTCCCCAGGGGTTGGTACTGGGTTCAGCGCTGTTCAACCTATTCATCAGTGACTTGGGTGAGGGGACAGAGTGCACCCAGAGCAAGTTTGCAGATGATACAAAACTGTGTGGAGTGCCCATCACCCAAGGGGGCTGGGCTGCCATTCAGGGAGACCTAGACAGATTGGAGAGGTGGGCGGAGAGGAACAACAAGGACCAGTGCAGGGTCCTGCACCTAGGGAGGAACTACCCCTGGCACCAGTCCAGATCAGAGATTGACCACCTGGAAAAGAAGCTCTGTGGAGATGGATTTGGAAGCTCTGGTTGACAAGTTAACTCTGAGCTGGAAATATGCCCTTGTGTCTAAGAAGTCCGATAGGATCCTGGGCTGCATGGGGAGGTGTGTTGCCAGCATGTGCTGGTAGGTGATCTGGTGAGGCCCTACCTGGAATATTGTGTGCAATTCTGGGGTCCCCAGTACAAGAAGGAACTTCTAGAGAGAGCCCAGTGTAGAGCAACAAAGATGATTAAAGGACTCAAACATCTATCTTATGAGGAAAGACTAAATGAGCTAGGCCTGTTTAGCCTGCAGAAGAGAAGATTGAGAGGAAACCTGATCAATATGTACAAATACCTGAGAGGAGAATGTAAAGAGGTTGGGGCCAAGCTCTTCTCGTTGGTGGCCAGTGACAAAACAAGCGATAATGGGTATAAACTAAAATGCAGGAAGTTCCATCCCCATCTGAGGAAAACTTCTTTCCTGTGAGGGTGACAGAGCCCTGGAACAGGCTACCCAGAAAGGTTGTGGAATCTCCTTCTCTGGAGATCTTCTCTGGAGATCTTCAAAAACCACCCGAATGCAATGCTGTGCCACATGGTCTAGGTATCGCTGCTTGAGCTGGGATGTTGGACTAGATGATCTCTAGAGGTCCCTTCCAACCATTCTGTGATTCTGTAGTCCCCAAATGTGATCATGAAAAGAAATATTTTCATGTATTATCTACTTCTGGAAAAAGTACAGATATATAGCTAGAATTGAAAACTTTTAAAGTAATATTTTTAAACACTTATAATGAAGTTATTGACTAGAAAATAACATTACCTTCCTGGCTTCTCTAGGATTTATGTTACCACTCTCTGTTGTTGAAAAATACCTACTTCTACTGCTACGGATCTTTTTATTCTTGCTTTTATTATTAAAAAATAGACCAGAAAAACAGCATTACAAGTCAGTGACTTGTCTGTCATGTTGGAATCATTACATCATTATAGGTTGTTTGTCACTAAAAGGTACTTGGATGTATTAAGATTTCCCTTTAGAAGTTCACCTGAAATTATTATTTACAGAGTAATACCCCTCAAGTAAACCCCTGTAAATAGGGCTATGATATTCTGGGATTCAGTATTTGTAACTAACAAAGTTAGTTTTAAATAATAATTCTCTAAAAACAAAGAGAAATGAGGCAAAGCCTTTTCATAGTACACAGAAAAGGAAAAATAACATGTTCTGTTGATTCACGAAGGAGTACAAATGTAATTTCTTTCATTTCTCTGTGTCTTTGTTCTTTTTCCACAGTGAAATCAGATGAGTTGCAAACAATCAAGAAGGAATTAACCCAAATCAAAACAAAAATTGACTCCTTGCTAGGGAGACTGGAAAAGATTGAAAAACAGCAAAAAGCTGAGGCAGGTAGGTGAAAAAAAATATTGTAGTCACATGTATTAAACTAGAGCATAGTTATTCAGTCAAGCAGACAAATCAGAGAGAGAACAGAAGCCTTCCAGTAGATCTCTACATAATGTGGGCCCAGTAGAAAAAATAAAAACAAAGAAAGAAAAGAAAAACAAAGATATTTTCTACTATGTTCAGAAATTAAACATTTGAAATATTTTTGACTTAACAGAATTAAGATGAAGTTTGCTGACTGTTAGAATACTTGTACTTTCTACATTAAGAATTATAGAATTATTAGGTGGTCCGTATGAAGAAATATAGTTTGGGCAAGATGCAATGGCCCTCTTCCCTTCCTGATCCCTTTCTCCTTCAACTCTTACCAAGCTGTAACATTCCAGAAAAAAATACAACAAATAAAAAAAAAAAAGTCAAAGAAGGTTTTAAAATATTCTACCATTTGTTTATAATCATTTGTTAAGTCAACATCTCCTTAGCTGTTATAGAACTCCAGTTTATCTCATAAAATCGTTTGGATGTTTTTTCTAAGTCTATGGTAAATCAGAGTATGATTCTCTCTTTTAAGAACTACACCTTATGTATTCCTTATATTCTATTTTGTATTTTATGTTAATTATATAAAAGTTGGCATAATCAATGATGATGTAATTGAATCACATGGGCACTGAGATGCTTTGAGATGGCACATCCCTACTTCATCAAGCTTTTATGTAAAATCTATTGCTATGTAAAACAACCTGCATGTCATTGTACTTTGATATCCAATTTGCACTTTTTGTTAAAGGATTCTAGTGAACTAGTTTAAATAGAAATCTTCTCAAAGAGGAAAATGTTGATTTGTATTGAATCATACTTCTTTATCATTTGAAGATGAGCAATGAACAGTCTCCTTAGACATTAAAATGTAGTTTCAAACTGTTGATGTTTTTAAACAACATGTGCAAAACCTATGCCCCATTTTCTTTTCTTCTCATTGAAGAGTGTGAGGAAAAAAATACCCCAGAAGTGTCAGTAACTCTGGATTCCCATTTGAGTCCCACACATTGATCAAAAGGGCAATGCAGCCTGGGTGATGAGTCCACAGATGAGTATTTCCTCAGATAAATACTTTATATAAAATAAAGCTATATGAACAGCTAAACTATTTAATTTACAGAATCATAGGTATGATGATTTTGTTCCTTCTCTATTGATTGGCAATATTATTTCTCACATTTCTCTGTCAAAGGTTGCAGTCTCATTAAGACCAGGAAGACTGGGATCAAAGAAAGGATCTCTGTCTGTTTAAGAAAAATATACAAAAGTCAAACTATCATCTTGTACTCTTTTTTTTAAAATTTTGCATCATTCTTGACAAGAGTATTTATTTAATCATTAATCTTAAAAGTTGGATATCTGGAGGACTGTGACAGGTTAAACAGAAAAGCTAGACAAGCTAAGTACATACTTCAGTTATTTTTCTATAGGTTGATTAAAATTTTCTTGCCATACTGGCTGATATTATTTTTATGGTTATCAACCCCTGACTATTTCAGTAGGATGGCTATAGATAAGAGAACATAAAAGTAAAAGAATGTTAATTTCACACTTTATATTGAGAAACAGAGCATTTCTCTTTTAAATCTTTGAACAAGAAATCTATATAATGTATGTTACAGTTTTAGGATAGAACTCCATGGTCAACAAATACGGGAGGTAGCTGAGTATCACTTTTTAATAAAGAGTTGCAAATTCTGGAAACAGAATTTCCTTGGATTAGCAAATAACTATTGTGGCTTAGTAGAACAATTTCCTGTGCATATGATATTGGTAGGAATAGGAATATAATGTTTGTAAAAATCTGGATCAGAAAGCCAGGGATAAGAAGTTGTTCTGATGTGATATGATTGCATTAGGAGAACACACTCACTGTAATATCAGAGATGAAGATCTTTACAAATGGTTCTTAAAAGAAATCTTAAATTTATCTTCTCAGAGAAGCCCCAAAGAGTCAGATGCTCATCTAGTATTTTAGATTTCACTAAGGAAATTCACATTCACAACTACAGCTGAGTTATTCTCATAAGTGGCTTGAGGTGGGGTAAGAGGTAGTAGACGTAGCTGACTAAACCTTTGTTCCTTGTGCAGTTAGGCAAGTAACATGATAATAATGGGTCATGCACCAAAGAATAATATTGGTAATGTTAGCCCAAGGTGTCTGCTGGTGAAGAAAAAGCTGATGTCAATGTCCTAGCATTGTATTGTTATATTGCACTGTTACCAAAAGATGTTGAGGTTCCATGGGCTGAATCTTCTACCACTATGGACAACCACACTAATGTCAGAGCAGAGATCTAGGATGACTTTTAGTTCTTTAAGTCCAACAATCTTTCTGGGAAAAAAAAAATGTGACCATGGGGAAAAAGTCTCATTATTCTGTATCTTCAGTAAATGAATTTGAAAATGAGGGATTAGAGACTAAGAAAGACTGAGGAGATTAAAGTAATTTGCAAAATAAATGATAAATGTGTGCAGATAGAAGGAAAAGTAAATGCTGTTTTGGCTTAAGACTATGATATAGAAAAGTGTGAGGAAAATTTGAATATTGGATGCAGCAGCTAATAATCTTAAGTAATAAAAAATACATTCATAAAGCTGAAAAATTTTCAGCTTCACAGGCTATTTGCAGATTCATTGACTGTTCAACAAGATAGGTGATAGGTGAGCTAGTGTTATAGAAGAGTCAACCTAATAAAGAAAGGTTTTTGTTAAATACATCTGATCATTAATGGGCATTGTCATGGGAAGAAAACAAACAAACAAAAAAACAACAACAACAAAAAAACCTCTGGTACTCTGGGATTCCACGTACATACAAATAATTTTCTGGCCAACGTCATTCTGGTTAAAAAAGGATTTCCATCTAAACTTCATATGTAGATAGGAATAAGATTCTGATCCCTCAACCATTCTTCCAGCCAGTCTGTCTCTCTCAATATTCCTCTGGATTTCAGCTTGTGGGATGAAACTCCTGCAGATATACAGGAGTCTCGCAATACATAATCACAGCAACACAGCCATTTGGGGTAAAGCAAGCAGAACAGATCCTATGGGTCTCTACAGAAATAGAAATGTTTTTTGTTTTCCTTGCTTCGCAGAAGTTGCAGAAAACCCTATATTTGAGTAATGAGAGGGGCATTCTCCAGTTGCCTCAGCACATTATACAAATGGGGAGAACACTGTTACTTTAGCTTAGTAAAAAGGTGACTGGAAGAATCTGTTGATCATCTGTATGGCTATTGAGAGATATTCACAGCAAATTTATGAAAAACCTTGTTCCCTTATTGGCAATTAACAGCCATCCGCTTCTCAGAGCATAGAGACTTATGTACTGCTCATTGGCCGTTGATAAGTAAATTTATGGTGATTTTGCAGATTGGATTCTCACAGCAAATCAAAGTCCAGGGAATCAAAAAGCAAGATCCCTCCAGTAAAGCAAGCCTTCACCTGCCGCATGGAAAGGATGAGCATGATAGTGTTGATTTATGCATTAATTATTTAAAACAAGGATTTTGATCATATTTGCCTGGTAAATACTAACACACTAATTTTCATAAAACTGCTTCATCTAGAGATGGGAAGTTTAGATTTCTTCCTTAGAACACTGCTTTTTCCACCAAGAGGAAAGGTCACTGAATCTCTATAGAATATGTTTTCCTTACAGAAGCTCAAAAGAAACAAATGGAAGATAATGCTGATTTGATTCAAGAGGAATGCATATCAGAGAATGCAGATAACTCTACAGAAGATCCAATTGAAGGAGGGCCAGATGCAGATGGGGATGGAGAAGAGATGACTGATGGGATAGAGGAGGATTTTGAGGAGGATGGCAGCAATGAGCTGGTAAGGAATAACCATGCCATGTCTGTCCATACAGTTGATACAAGTAACCACAGAAAATCTGGGCTAACAGAAAAGCTAACAGCAGCACCTTTGATGTTCCATAATTAGCACCTAGTCCTGCATTCTTCATACACTGTAGTACCTACTAAGGCTTCAAAGAATAAATAATATGGCCCTTTTTGTATAAACAAGCAAAAATATTATTGCTAAACTTAGTGCTTTTAGAAAGGAAATGGGATAAAAATGGGATTTTTTTCATCTATTATTTTACTTTTAGTAATGTAGATGAGAAAGGAAAGCATGATGATGTTTTTTTTTTCACCAGAGCAAAAAGAACCTTTCTATTAGCAACCAAGTAGCACTCAGTAATTCCAGGTCTGCATGTGCATCTTCTGCAGGCTGTACATCTACATGTATTTTTGACAGAAGAAGGATTTTGCCCTAAGAAGCATGTATCTGAGAGGTTTTCATCTTGAGCCTGAACCATTTATGAAATCTCTATCGTATTGGGACATTTCCAAATTATTCTAGAGAAACATTTAAAATGATTCTGAAAGTCAGATATCATTTCTCTTCCTTCCTTCCTTCCTTCCTTCCTTCCCTCCTTCCTTCCTTCCTTTCTTTTTTCCTTCCTTCCCTTCTTCCCTCCATCCTTCCCTCCATTCCTCCTTCCATCCTTCTGTCCTTCCTCCCCTCCCTCTCTCACTTCTTTCTTCCTTCCAAATCAGTAGCATTGTTAGACAGCACAGCGATTCCATAATATTTCCTTTTTTCTCCCTCCTTCTCTTCTTTATTTTCATATGCTTCTGCTTTGAGCATAAATCACTTCTAGTGCTCAATGCTACCGTCCCTGCTTGCTTTTTAACCTGTGTTTAGTTGAAATCAGTCAGTGATGACAACAACAACCAGTCAGCAATGGACACAGCTGAACCAACAGAAACCCTGGTATAGTGGTGCATGTAAATAATTATTGCTTTGTACTGCTTGCTAGAAGCATAACCACTACTAATTTGAGGGTTTACATTTCTTCAGCCAGCATGAGGTCCACCTGAATTTCTAAATGCTGAGTAGGTGTTATGCTCAGAGGAAGTTCAATCTCCTTACATTTTCTAGCAGAGCAGGCGGTAGTTTCTCTCAAAGGAACAGGTTCACATGTACAGGCATTACGGACCTCTTTTAGCAGGTAATTCTGAATTTGCTGGAAGTTGAAATTTTATAATGAATAAATAACTGTAAATACAATATCCCATCATGACAAATATCTGGTCTCCTGAAGTGATACTAGCCATAAGGGTGATCACTGTTTAGCTTTGGCATTTATGGTGTGCCAGACTCTCTACTACAAAAAAGTATTTGGGGACATTATCCCCAGATTAGCCTGTGATTGTTCAGTGATGTTGTTTCATGCTGTGAATATGACATATTTGGCGTATATCTATATAATGAAGCTTCTGTATATCAAAACATGGGCAAAGGTCTAAGCAGGAAAGTTTCTAAAGAGAATGCAGCACACAAGACTTAATTACCAGCAAAAGCCTGGAATCACCATGGCCACATTTACAGCATGCTGCTTTCAAGTTAGAAAGGCATTTTAATCTCTAAGTGCCCTGTAAGTGCCTGGAGGAGGTAGCTTGCTGCACATAGAGAGTACAGAAAGTCCTTTGTCTTGTGCTTTTGTGTTTATGAATTATATTCCTCTAGACAACTCCCAGCCTGTCACAGAGGTAGGCAGGGAAAAGAGCTGCTGTGCCAATCCCAGTCACAATCAGCCTGTCTCAGTGGTAGAGCAGCAACAGCTGAGCAGCTCATGCACCGCGGCTTTATCTTCCTCTTTCCCAGACACTGAGACCCTGTAGCCAAGATGCTGGCAGCATTGCACATTTAAAACCTGATGTTCAGGTTTTACATGTATTTTACAATGGGAATAGTGTATTTCTTTCGTAACATTTAGAGAGATCAGTGAACAAAAAAGTTCTGTGGATGGGATAAACATCTTTGTAATACTTTACAAAGTATTGCTTCAAAGACATCTCAGGCAATGGGTGTTTTACACAGACTGGCACCTATAGATTGCATGGTTCAACTTTTCTGTACAATTTTCACCAAGGAGCTCCAAGCAATCATGTCCTCCAAGTTCTTTAGCAACATTGAAGATTTTACTGATAGAAAATGCATCACTTCAAAATGAAGCAAGCTGCATCTTATTTGAGAAAAGTATTTTTTAGAGCATGAAAAGTTTTGTGTTAAACAATCAGGACAACTTTCCATATGTGAAAACATAAGCTTAGATTCACAGTAAGAATATATTTCCAAAGGACATCCTTTAATGAAAGCTATAATCTTTCCCAAATACAGAGGCTAGAGGATGTAGGTAGAATGAAGATGAAAAAAAATCTATATAGTAAAAGACATGAGTGTTCTTTTTCAGCACTAAGAACAATGGAACAAATAAAACAGGTATTTTACATGTGGAGAACTAGTGTTCTGAAGTCTGTATCCAAAATCAATTGCATTTTTTTTTTGAAAAAGAAATGTTTTTGAGAGGAAAGAAATCCTACTGCCTTTAATTTTTTTTTACAGTTTCTTAATTTAAAAAGTATTATGACAAGGAGAAAACAATTATACACACACACAAATTTAGACCTTAACCTTTCTTACAGTGATTCAGATTTAGCCATGACTTCCCTTGTGACCAGCATCCCAAAGGCTTGTTGGTAAAGGCAGCTGTTCAGTGAAGACAGCCAAGCTGCCAGAATCCAGAATCTTCCAGAATGGATTTTTTGAAACCATCCATGTAGATCTGCATCTTTGGACTAGAGATCTCAAAAGGAATGTATTTCTATCTCTTTAGTTCTAAATTGTGAAAGAACTCCTTAGTATCTAACAGAATGTATACTGTGAGTTTAGACAGTAGGATCAGCTCTCCAAATTCACATTCAGTCTATTTGTAGGAACAGGTTGCTGCACAATAACTGATGGCAGCTCTCCTCACGCCTGCTTCAGCCTAGACCAACTATAAAGAAATGCAAAGTAGTTTAGCCTGCAATCTGAATTGAATCAGGCATGGATTTAAAGAGGCTTTAGCCTTTTCATTTGCCTGTCTAGCTGCACATGCAAAAACCACCACATTCAATACCTGAATACTTCTCCATCTACAGTTTAGATCAGGAAGGTCCTCAAGCCTGCATTACCATTTTGCATGGACTGAAGACATGCCTTAGACAATTATTATGGTTCAGCTGAAGTGTGAATATTTGTTTTGCCACAATAATCTGATTGCCCATCAAAACCCTATTTAAAGACATGCTGCATTTGAGGTATCTGCTCTATGCATCAGATTTCATCCCTTGGAGAAATTCCTTTCCCACTAAATCTTTCTTTAGAATGTGTTTTAATAAACATCTCCAGTGCTGCAGATGCTCCAGCTTGAGGATCTTTTTAAGAGAACAATTCCCCCACACATTTACTGCATTGATAAACTGAAGAATTTTCTAAATGATTATTTCAAATATATGATCTAGATACATAGAGATATGCAAGGCAAGACTGATGGATTCAAAGAGCTGACTTCAATTTCCTAAATGCAAATACTGTAATATGCCTTTCACCCACTCCTCCCATATCTGCATCCCACTGCCTATTGCACAAGGGACTGCAACAGCGTATTGCAGCTGTATTTGTAAAATAATCACTAACTTGGAATGTAGCCCTTGGGCTTACTCTGGTTCATGTCACCTAAGCACACATGAGAGGTAGCTGAACCAAATGAAAAGCTCAGATCCATTTCCCTCACTCCTTTCACATGAAAGATCCACTAGTTAGTTATACAGGCTTTCACCAAAGTCCCAGGAGTCAGACTTACTTTCCTTTCTCTGCATTGAAGAATTACTCACTTCAGTGAATTAAAAATCCTTCTATCCCTTCCTATTGTGAAACTTTCTATTCTTGTTGCTTTTAGTCTCAGCTGATTCCTGTCAGTGCTGTAAGGAAAGAAATTCATCCATGCAGCTTCTAGTCTGGCCCTGACAAGATCCTGACAAAAAAAAATCTTAATTTAAACTAAATTTACCTCAGTTACAGAACGCAACACAAATCATCAATGATGTCAAACAGTTCTCAGGTGCTGGCATAGCTTTAAATTGTAAAGAGTGGGAAGGCAAATCAATACCTTCTTCCTATTTCTGTGGTGAGACAGTGCTTGCTCTAGCTTGCAATTTGCAGCATGTTCTAGCACACATTTTGATATTTTAGGAGCTGTCTGCCTTCCATAGCTCTGTAAAAAGCTGCTTCTTCACATAACATTAGCAGTATGGGGAGCAGCTGAGAACACATGGGCTTGCAAAAAGTGTTTCTGAATTATTCTGCACAGTGCTTCTCTTAGTCTGTTTAGTGTCTGCATAAGCAAATACAGGCTCACAGTACTTCATTCAACTTCTCTGAACTTGTTTCAGATGGTACTAATCAATTATGGAGGAAGCACTGACTCAAAAAATGAACTACAGCTTATCCTCACAATCCCTTTGTAAATAACAATGGTGGCATCCAATTAATTAGCTGAAAGTCTGAAATACTGTGCATTTGGGAAAAAAATCACTTTCTGCTAATGCTTAATACTTACACACTAATTAATTGGAATGAATTATACACAAGCATTCATATCAATATTATATTGCCTGAGAAGAATAGTACCTATCAAAATGTCAGACTTTCATAATAAATAACTATAATAATAATAGTACAGTGCTGGTTCAGTAGTTAAGCATTCAGTAAACAGTGATTTGGATAGACTCATATGAGTTCACTGGTTTCAGATAGAATAGATTTATGATGTAGTAACTCAGGCTGGACTCTGTTAGTGCTTGACAGGAATTTGGGGAATACATTCATAATTGCACTATTGTGATTTTATGGTAGTGTGGCTGCAACTAAAAATAATGAACCACACTAGCATTAGACACAAGTTCCACAATAATGAGTCAACCTTAATGAGATGTCTTGAG